TCAACATGGCCGTCTGCATAGCTGCCCCGTTCTTCTCCGTCGCCCCTCGCAACGGCACCGTCCCGCCGTTCACCCTCAACCTGGGCTTCTGCCACGTGGACTTCCGGGATAACCTGTCCTACGTGATTAACGGGGTGGCCGTGTCGGTGCGTGACTTTGCGTTCGTGGGCGTGATGCTGGGCTCCAGCGGCTACATCCTGGTCCTCCTTCACCGGCACGGCAGGAAGGTACGGGGCATCCGCCGCTCGCAGGGAGCCACGATGGAAACACGGGCGGCCAAGACGGTGGTGATGCTGGTGGTTCTGTACGTGGTGTTTTTCGGCATCGACAACGTCATCTGGATCTACATGCTGACGGTGCCTCAGGTGCCCCCAGTGGTGGCCGACATGAGGGTGTTTTTCTCCTCGTGCTACGCTTCGCTCAGCCCGTTCCTCATCATCTCGTCTAACAAGAAGGTCAAAGCGAGGATGGTGTGTGCGACCTCGTCAGACCAGGAGCGGCAAGCAGAGGATAGCAAGGACCCAAAAGCTGCCAAAAACTGATCTTAACAAAGTCTTAGATTTGTAGTTTTGTAATAGTGTCACAAATATTACAAAGATATTATATTACAATATCTTATAAAATCAGATATTATATATAATATAACATAGTATCAGATAGTATTAGGTCTGAGTGTGTCTGTATTTGAGTGGCACCTAATAAACGAACTGCTGGAAAGAGAACTGCGAGGACTCTTATTTTGACGCGTCGGTTGGGGACTCTTATTTTGACGGGTTGTTGTTCAGTCGCCATCTTGGCTGGTTGCGCGCTGAACCGACCCTGAAAACTCGAGCCGAGTTAAACTGACGGTGAGCTCTCATTTAATGTGGTTTTCTCTTGGTTAAGCTTTTGGAAAACGATCAACGACTGTTCTTAAACTTCTCTTGACCGAGAGAGTCAGCCGTGTTTGGGGTTTTAGTGTCTTTAGCGAGAGTCGCTCACTTCCGTTAGCCTGCTAGCTGCGCGTCATGAAAACACATTCAGACTTTTAAAAGCAGGAGCGTGTTTGTGTACAAAACAGATAAAGCTCTGAGTGTCGTAATATTCTCTGATTTCACTCTTCTGCTGTAAGCCTCTGCATTTAAACCTGAGAAGAGCTGAAAAGCGCATTGAAACAGCTTTACAAACATCATATGAAACTCTCAGTGAACGCAAGGCACATATTTTATCATTTAAAGTTTTCTATGAGAGTATTTTTAAAGTTTCTGCATTTAGCATTTTTAGGGGGTTGAATCTCATTCTTAACCCAGTGATATTTGATCGGCAAATGTGCTTTATTTTCATAAAAATGTCAGGATGAAATAAATATTAATGCTTTATTCTGTATCTCCATATATGATATATTCACTACCGCTCAAACGTGTGGGATCCGTAAGATCTGTAGTGTTTTATCTGCTCATCAAGCCTGCATTTATTTATCAGAAATACAGAAAACACAGTAATATAGTGAAATATTATTACCATTTAAAATAACTGTTCTATTTTAATATACTGTAAACTGTAATGTATTTCTGTGATGCGCAGCTGTATTTTCAGCATCATTACTCCAGACTTCAGTGTCACATGATCTTCAGAAATCATTATTAAATTATATAAAGTAATTTTGTAAGACTTTTTAAATTTAACTAAATTTTAATGATACTGAATAAAAAAAAAAACACAAGCCAATAAAATAACCACTTTTACTGAAAGTAACACAATAAAACTGGACAGAATTTATATTAATATTGGTAACACTTTACAATAAGGTTCATTAGTTAACTACTTTAGTTAATGAACTAAGAATGAACAATAGTTCTTCAGCATTTACTAATCTTAGTTCATGTTAATTTCAACATTTACTAATGCATTATTAAAATCAACAGCTGTGCTTGTTAACAGTTAATGCACTGAATTAACATGAACTAACAGTGAATAACTGTATTCTCATTAACTAACATTAAGAAAGATTAATAAATACTGTAATAAATGTATTGTTCATTGTTCGTTCATGAGAGTTAATACATTAATACATCAGGGCTTTCCTGATAACTTTATTTTACTAACTTACTGCATGCTGAAGGTGACCCAGCTGACCTCACCAGAAAAAACACCAACTAGTGGATTGTAAAGAAATTGATTTTATTATTCTACCAAATAGTATAATAAAAGATTGATACTTGGTGTCCGTGTATCGATACAGTATTGCCGCGGAAAATATCGTGATACTATACTATGCGATTTTTCCCCCCACCCCTACTTTTTAACTTGTTATTCATCAAAGAATCCTGAAAAAAGTATCACAGGTTCCAAAGAAATATGAAGCAGCACAACTGATAATAAATCAGCATATTATTATGATTTCTGAAGATCATGTGACACTTTATACTGGAGTAATGATGCTGAAAATACAGCTGCGCATCACAGAAATACATTACAGTTTACAGTATATTAAAATAGAACACTGTTATTTTAATTTGTAATAATATTTCACAACTTTACTGTATTTCTGATCAAATAAATGCAGCCTTGATGAGCAGAAGAGACTTCTTTAAAAACATTAATAATCTGACCGATCCCACACTTTTGAACAGCAGTGTAGTGAATATAACATATAGCGAAAGGCATTTCTGTATGCCACGGGTTCGATTCTCATACACAGCATAAATGTAATTGATTTGATTTCCTGATGTTGAGATCAGATATAATGTGTGAGTGTTGTTGTTAGAGCTGGGAGCGGATCAGCCGAGCGAGACTCTCTCCGCGCAGGAATGGCGGCGATCCGTAAGAAGCTGGTGATCGTGGGCGACGGCGCGTGCGGGAAGACCTGCCTGCTCATCGTCTTCAGCAAAGACCAGTTCCCCGAGGTCTACGTGCCCACCGTCTTCGAGAACTACGTGGCCGACATCGAGGTGGACAGCAAGCAGGTGAGGAGCGAGCGGTGTCTCCGCGGCCGCTAACACTGTGCTAACGCTAGCGTGTGGTGTTTCAGGTGGAGCTAGCGCTGTGGGACACGGCGGGTCAGGAGGACTACGACCGTCTGCGGCCGCTCTCTTACCCCGACACCGACGTCATCCTCATGTGCTTCTCCATCGACAGCCCCGACAGCCTGGGTGAGTCTCGCGCTAGCCGCGCTCACGCTAGCCCCGCGCCCGCTGACCTCTGACCCCTCTGACCCGCAGAGAACATTCCCGAGAAATGGACTCCGGAGGTCAAGCACTTCTGCCCCAACGTTCCCATAATCCTGGTGGGCAACAAGAAGGACCTGCGCCACGACGAACACACTCGCCGCGAGCTCTTCAAGATGAAGCAGGTGTGCATTGGCTGAACATGTGGGAAGCAGGACTTTTATTTTGAAAGCCCATTCTCCGTCTCCAGATTTCTCAAATAAACAAACCCTGTTATTCATTACTTTTAGATTACGTAGCATGACATTATATATCGGCTGGCTAAAAATCTCTATTGGTCGACCGCTGAGGTTCCTGTGGGTCCTTAAGAAATGAAAAACCTTAAATGGAGTAACACGAGGCATAATTTCAGGAGGACCGAAGTTTGGCCGATTTATTAAACTCCAAATGTGTTGTTTTGCGTTCTGCAGAGCATTTATGCCGAACGATCGCTTATGATCTACTGATGAAGCGTTGCAAGACGCAAGTTTAAATGAGCAGCTGTAGTCGTAAAGCATAGGCTTTTCAAAATAAGAGTCTCTGTGTGTTTCAGGCTTGTTTGTACAGTAAAACACACATTTAAATTACTTGAAATAAGCGTTAATAATTAATAATAAGGTGGATATATAAACCGATTCATATATTGCTCTGATTTATCGGCCCATGTTTGGCACTTCCTAATTATTGAAATCGGCTGAAACCACAAAGAATTTCAAAATAAGAGTCTCTGTGATTTTCAGGCTTGTAACCAAAGCCAAAACCTCAAAAGAACATACTTTATTACTTGAAATAAAACAAACATTACCTGAAGTTAAGTATATAAACAACTTTCTATTTCAGTTAGTTGCCACGGCAACATTTCTAATTTTAATTCTCACTTGATGTACTAAAATGACTAAAGCAGAAATAAAAACTGTATAACAATAAACAAAAACTACTAAAACTGACAACTTTAACTTGGAAGCAGAAAATCTAAAAATAAAAACTATAATAGAATCTCAGTGATGCTAAAATAACACTGGATTATAATTAAAAGTCCCACTTATGCAAAAAATATTTTTTGTCCTGGTTATAATTAGTGTTTTGTTCACTATACAGTATATAGATGTTACTAGTATCGGCACAATTTTTTAATTGCCTTTCTGTAAACACATGATTATATTTTCAGCAAAGTCAGGTATCGATTGAATTTGCATGTATTGGCATGAACTGATTCCAGTGCATTTGTAAGGGTTGAGCAGTGCGTTTGAGCGTCTCTGCTCTGATCTTTCTTGAGTTGTTTGAAGCATCAGCAGTGTAAGCGAAGCTGTGGTTTGTGACGTCTCTGTCTCTCCCGCAGGAGCCCGTCAAGCCGGAGGAGGGCCGAGACATGGCCAACCGCATCTGTGCCTTCGGATACATGGAGTGCTCCGCCAAAAGCAAGGACGGCGTGCGGGAGGTGTTTGAGATGGCCACCAGGGCGGCGCTGCAGGCACGCAAGGGCAAGAAGAGCAGCAAATGCCTGCTGCTGTAGACGGACTGCACTCGCCTCCTTTTTATTCCTTCTAACTGCATCAGTTCACCTAGTGTTGAGAGTTTATGTCAGTATTTAACGTTTCTGTTCGTACACCACTGAATTCGCCACATTCAGACTCTGCGAAAACACAAATATGCAACGACGACTTCCAGAAACAACCGATCAGGACCAAGGTGCACTGCACGCCGCGGACCAGACTTGAAATGCATTCTTTTGTCTGTTTGTGTATTAAAGCCTTTATAAGACGCGTCTGCTGGTTTGTGTTTCTCCTGCTTTGATTGTTTGAAAACAGCACGTCATTGAGGATTCGCTCTTTATTTCACACACACAAAAACAGATTGCAAATAAAGTTCCTGTGGAAAAATAAAAGTGAAAACGCAGAAGACGCGAGTTGGATTTTATAATGGGGTTTTAGTTTGAGTGCGCTGCACGAAATGATTTTCTTACATTGTATTTCCATCGTTTTCTAGTACAAATATCCAAACATTCTTTCATCAAGAGACATTTACTGGAGATGCAAAACAGAAGATGTGTAGTCGTGTTTTCTGAAAAACTGATCAAAATGAAGTGAGTTCATTCTTAAAATAATAACAAACATCTGACAGTGGTCTGAAAAATGATCTTAATTCAATTGAAAAACAAAATCATGTCCCTGACCTCACCGACATATTTATTCTCGTTCTGAGCGAAAACTCAACTTTGATCCGTTTTTCTGATGATTTGTTTTTTGTTTAACCATAAACTCACTTAATTTTGATTTTTTTTTCCCATTTTTCCAGAAAAGAGGATTTGATATCTTAAGTCATTGTGAATCTCCAGAAAATGTATCTTGATCTAAAAATGTTTTTACTGGAAAACAAGACACTTTGTCAGTGTAACGTAAGATCTGTGGGAAACATAACTTGACAATATTGAGGTTTTACTCTACAACATAAATTACACACATCCATACTGAAAACATGAATTTTGAAGCTGTTGTGCTTATTTTTAAAGATGCATGTTTATAACTACATAAGAGCATTTGGGTGCGAATGTGTGCAGTTTATGTTGTACAACTAAAGTGATCATCAAGTCTTGTTTAGTGAATTGAGAAAGCCCATTATAAACCCCACAGGAAGCTCTGGAGCAGAAGTCTTCTCGGCTGCAGCACTGTGTAGAAGTGCAGAGAAGCTCAGCTGCTGGAGGCTTTGCTCGAGACGTCAAACTAGTCACTGGTTTTTCTTGGACGGGGCTCTGGCGTGTGCGAGGAGAAGCGGCAGGAGTGCGAGCAGCCCGAGCATCCCACCCAGCAGAGGCCGGTAGAAGATCCAACCGACGGAGATGGTGAGCAGTGAGAGCGAACATGAGACGCAGAGCGCGAAGATCTTCAGCCCCGCAGACACCAGCTCCCTCAGCACAGGAACCCAGTCCACTGGAGCAGACACACAGAGAGAGAGAGAGAGTCAGGACGAGACAGTTACCCATCAGCCCTGAGAGAGTGTGTGTGTGAGAGAGAGAGAGAGAGAGCGCTTTAGGCAGCGCAAACGAAAAAAACGAAATAAAACGAAACCCAATTTTATTATATTATATAATATAATTATAATTATTATATTTATTATTTTTATGCTGTAAAACAATTCTACGACATAGT